AAAATCGTTTACAATGGCGTAGATTCACAGCCATTGTTTGTCGTCACTCAAATTCTAATCTTATGGATACTTCATCAATTCTATTTTTCTGTTTTTAAGTTTATTTCCCCGAATTATACTTACCGAATAATATTTCCTAACCCTAATCTTCTCCATTATCGCTTATACTTCTACTACCTCTACTACTATGGGAATCGAATTGACAATTGTGTGTCTATGCTAACTGGGGTATGGCAACTCGAACTGCTGTACGTACATACGAAGTTCTACATTGTAGCTGACTAACTAGTACTGTTCTATTTCTAGAAAATTATTGGTAGTATAAAAATCTCTCTCTGAATGTTATCAAAATGGTCCAATAAGTGTAAATTTGTACCAAAAGATAATTGAAGTCTAAAGTCAACTCCACTAATATTACAAACACTCACGGAATAGAAATAAGCTGAAACACTGCCATACAGTATGCATCATTGACTGAAACTAAAGTGGGAAACCTTTCAATCACTAATATCTTATGGTAAAACGTTTAAGTGAGGAATTCCAATGGGATGTGTCTGTCATATTCACATGATTTTTATATTCGATACAATGTTTCAAACAAGGATCTAATTGCATATCAAATATTAGTATTGCTATATCCAAATGACTGGAGGTGGATAGTGGACACACACTGAGGAAAGCACCCAACTGGAAACCCTCATTCGGAATCCTCAATGGCTAAAGGAGAAGAGGAAGATCAAAGAACACTAGTGAGCACTGTTACGATATTTACAGTTAGAGCTTTGGAGATTTGTGTTTGTACACATTTGAAATCATTAATCAATCATTATTTGACCACCATTAGAAACTTGGTATGGGACTCATCATTAGTGCGCATCCACGACTCCTACACCTCACAGGATTTGAACTCGGGACCTTCGGTATTGTGCGCGAACGCCTAACCATCGGACCAGTAGGTCGGCATCCAACGGTGTTAATGTCTTTATCTTTGGTAGTTACTGCCTACACCCGACAGGGTTGAACTCCATTGGTCACGTGAATCGGAAACGGACATGACTAGAAGGAACAGCAATTGGATAGAACTAGAAGAAGAATGGCCCAGAAGAATAGAGTAGGTTGGAGAATACTGATCGATAGCCTGTGCTCCCATTGGGGGTAACAGGTAAAATATCAGTATGAATATTGGAGTAAATAGGAACATACAGAACGAAATTTATGTACTCTTATTGTATACATAATTAAATTGGGTATAAATTATTAAGTAACTTGACTGTCAAGTTTATATTTATATTCCGTTTTTATCATAAACTTCCTATTAAAACCTATCAAGTTGTTATCATACAATTTACTGTCCCTATTTGGTTGGCAGTTTATTGTCCAACTTATAGCCTGTTCCTACTCACAAACACTCATTGAGTTCAATCATTTAGAATTGTTATTTTCCATTTATTCGTGTGATAATGGTCTGGCTTTGAACGTATATATATGAATATCAGAAATATAAAAAAAATTACCGAGTAGTGATCATTGAATTCGTCTTTCTCTTCAGTTAGAACTTTGGAGATGTTTTTTTACACATTTGTAATCATCAATCAATCATTGTTAGACCACCATTAAAAAACCTGGAAGCACTGGACGGCCGTTTCGTCCTGGTATGGGACTCATCCACAGTGCGCATCCACGACTCGCAGGATTCGAACCCGGGACCTTCGGCATTGTGCGCGAACCCCTGACCATCGTTTGAGTCTAGTTAAAGTATTGAACTAAAACGGTCAAGCATAAAGTATAATAAGAACTCACATACATTTGAATTTGCTTACATTTAATTTAAAGAAGCCTACTGCTTACTAACTCATGTAACAGACAAAGTCATTCATATAGCAATCACTTATCTGTATTGTATCATTGTGCATTTATTATTGTTACGTTTATATGAACAAGTATGATTGAACATTACTGACCACCTAAGTGCATATTGATTCTTTTCGCTTTCATATTAGCTGCTTTAAATATTTTGATGACTCATACATTTTCCAATGTATACCAGTACATTTTTATTTAATTCACCAAGTCAGCTCACTTGTTTGCTCGGTCTTCGGCGTAGATGCATCCATTCTGTGTTACCTCAAATCTTAATCTTCCGAATTCTTCTTTCACTATACATCTCGAGTGATATATTCGATCATTAATCTTCTTGATTAGGTGTTATTACTTCTACTACCTCTAGTGCGATTGGATTTGAATTGACAATTCCATCTGTCTGTTAATGTGGTATGACAACGTGATCTAATGTACCTACATACGTACGTACGAAGTTCTACGTTGTAAATGACTGACTGAGTTCCAATATAATAATCATTATTATTATCATACAAAATCTTTTACACGACTCAAAAACTAACTCGCAATAATTTTACACTTCTCTCCTCGTAATCAATTTTGAATTACCCACATCAATGGATTATTTTTTTTCTGGTTAGCGTTTTTTTGGCAAGTTAGTTTTTGACGGAATGGGGTCGCCAACCCCATGTCCAACACTCCTCCTTTACCCGGGCTTGGGACCGGCAGTAGCCCCGAAGGTTCTACTGGCGGAGCGTGCACCAACCAAATCACTCTTGATGGAGATGCCTTGGAGGACGTTAACACATTTACATATCTGGGCAGCATCATCGGCAACCATGGTGGATCCGATGCAGATGTGAGGGCGCGGATTGGCTAAACAAGGGTTGCACTTCTACAATTGAAAAATATCTGAAACTCCAAATAACTTTCAACCAAAACCAAAATAAGGATTTTCAATACATGTGTCAAGGCAGTTCTTCGGTATGGAGCGGAAACTTGGAGAACTACGAAAGGCATCATCCAGAAGATACAAGTGTTTATTAACAGTTGTCTACGCAAAATAACTCGGATTAGTTGGCCAAACAGTATCAGCAACAACGGACTGTGGGAGATAACAAACCAGATTGCAGTGGATGAGGAAATCAGGAAGAAGCGGTGGAAGTGGATAGGACACACACTACGAAAAGCACCTAACTGCGTCACCAGACAAGCCGTCACATGGAACCCTCAAAGCAAAAGGTAAAGAGGAAGGCCAAGGAACACATTACGCCGAGAAATAGAGAAAGACATCAGAAGAATGAACAAAAACTGGAAACAACTAGAAAGAGAAACCGAGGAGAGTTGGTTGGAGAAAACTAGTGAGCGGCCTATGCTCCATCGAGGGTAACAGGAGTAAGTAAGTACATCAATGAAACTTACAGTTATTATTCTATGAAACTATTCAAAAAAAAATTCAACATCAACTTTCATTTATTCAACTTGTTAGGATATTCACCAAATATCCTAAGAGTACTATTTTTGGAAGTATAATCCTATTGGTCGATTTCTATTGGTCAAAATTATGATCGTTTTAACTGTCAAAGTCAAATACTTCAATGTTGTCTCTTATTGGTCATCCGGACTGTCAATGTCATTTCAAATGTTGTTTCCTATTGGCCGTCCTAAAACTGTCAATGTCACAGACTTCGATGCTCTTTCCTATTCGACCTTAATGTATAAATACGCACTATCTGTAAGACTTAATGTTTTCCGTTCCTTCCTGCTTGCCTCTCTTCTGTATTCAACCCAATAAACAACTCCATCCAACGGCGTTGTGTTCAGATATATATAGGAGATTTGGGGATAGTATTTGGATCGTAACGGAATATTTGAATTCGGACATCGGTAGGATTTGAATAGCTATACGTAGCAGCATTATAATACAACTATAAAAACCTGGAAATAAATTTTTGCATTGGTACTACTTAGCTACTAAAATTATCTCCACTGTTTACATACAATTGAAAACATTTCGACAGAATCACTACACTTCACTTTATTTAACCGGTTTCCATTAATCATTCACACGTACATTCATTTATTGTTTACAGAAAAGAAAACAGAAAGAAACGTATTAGTCAAATGAATTCGTAAACAGAAATCTGTCCAACTGACTGACTCACTATACATTGTACACATTGGCTGTGAGTCAATATTCAATTTGATTGAACAAAAATTAAATTACATTACATTTTTAACAAGTCGGAGAAAAATCATTCACTACAATTGTCAAAAGTTTATTCACATATGTAAGGGGGAATGACACATTAGAGACAAGTCATACATACACTATGGAAAAAAAAACCGGACTCCATTCAACTTTCATAGAATTACATAGAGCAGTACAATTTCAAAGCTTCATTCAGATAGTGAAACTGTGAAAAACATAAGCGATTACCATCACTATTCATTCACTCACTACTTTACATCAACCAACAACAAGAAAGAGTAAGTAAGCAACTGATTCGTGTGCAGTGATGTAGGTTGTAAAAATTACATGCTTATGTGAAATAATAATAGTAATAATAATAAACAACAAAGTTTCAAAAAAAAAATGAAATTCAACAATTCAAAGTCAATTCAACATGATTTTTACAAACGAAAACAAAGAAAAAAAATGGAAAAACAATACTGTTACAGACAAAAAATTGCGAACAAAACTTTTGTTGAAATAAAACTTTTACTACTCACTAATAGTCAGTAGTGACAGATCATAAGCTGAATAATCAAGTCAGAGTTGGGGTTTTGAAGACAAGAAATGGTCAAAAACGAATGGAACTTTACAAGTCAAGAGATGAATATATATATATATATTAAAAAAAAAATCAAATTCTATCACAAAGTTTCATTTTTTAATTTTATTCCTCTATAGTTTGTTTGTATGTTCAAAATTGAAATCTTCTCAAGACGAATAACACCTAAATCGATCTCACATGTCGTCCAATTGAGGAACTTACCTACCTATTGAAAATGACAAATAACTTGTAAGACAAACAGAAAAGAAATGAATTTCATATTATTATCAGTTCATAAAAATCCAATCTTGTTCAATGTGTTCACAATTGAAGGGAGGAATTGAGGCAAAATAACATTGGACTCTATTACTATGTGGCAACACTTTAAGCACATGCAAGTTCAGATTTCCCAGATTCCAGAATCGATTCACCATCCAATATGAATGACAATTGAAATTTTAATAAGAACTTTTCCTGTTTCGAATAATAAAAAAATAGAAAAAAAATATGCGATTTTAATGAATAATGTCATAGACAAATACTGTAAATTAGTCAATTTAAGTTAAAAGTGTTTAGTCAGTTCCAACGTAGAACTTCGTACGTATGTACGTACATAAGTTCATGTTACCATACCACATTAGCACAGAGACGCAACTGTGAGTTCAAATCCCATAGTGATAGTAGAGATAGTAGAGGTATTAATGGTAATAAAGAAGACTATGGGATTCGAAGATATTATTCAAGAAGTATAATTCAGTGAAATAAGTTTAGAAAGAGAAAGGTAGAGGTGATGTGGAATTGAGAAGATTAGAATTTCAGCGAACATACAGAGAGTGGGTGCACGTGCGCCATTGCAAATGATTTTGAGTTATGTCATTCAAGGTCTCTAACCATTGATGACTTTCGTCTCCCGGACCCCAACCACGTAATCTACATCTACCAATATGACTCAGTCCACTTGTCAGAGACTTCATGCATTTCTTCCATGTTTTGGTTTGGCCACCCCTAGCTTTCTTCCAACCTACTCCTACACCACAAAACATAGCTCGTCGAGGCAGTCAGTGGTTAGGCATTCGTAACACATGTCCCAACCACCTCAACTGATGAAGTTTCAATACTTCATCTATTGATCTGCCATCCTTACCTAGCACCCGTTTCCTAACGACAGCATTGCTTACTCGGTTGTCCCATGGTATACGAGCAATGCTTCTTAAACATCTATGATCGAATACTAGTAACCTACGAACATCTTCTACTCTTAACGGCCATGTTTCACAGCCATATAAGAGAACGGAGCGAACTGCTGCGCAGTACACTCGTCCTTTAGTCAGCAAACGGATATCTCGCCTTCTCCATAAGTGACGCAGGTTGGCAAAAACCAACCGAGCCTTCTGTATCCGAGTGGAGATTTCCAACGGAAGAAAAAGGAAGAAAGGAACACTAAGGAACATATTACACCGAGAATCGCAGACAGACAGACAGGAGAAAAAATGAATATCAATTGGGCGTACTAGAAAGGAAGCTCCCGGACATAGAAGGTTGGATAATACTGTTCGGCGGTCTATACTCCATTAGGGGCAACAGAAGTAAATAAGTAAGTAAGTAAGTAAGTAAATAGATTTAAGGCATCGCCCTAATTAGTGAATTGTGTACAAAACAACTGAGAAAAACTCTGAGACGGTGTTTGCTTTTGTACTAATATCCAAGAAAGTCCATATTAATAATAATAATTAATTTAGATTTCCCCATTGGCTTTTTTGTATTATCTGACTGACTATTATTTGTTTACTCATTACTGTCGTCAAATATAGTGATTTGTTTAGTATAACGTTGTAGAGATTGTTGATTTTCGTTGAAATCATGAATCTGTCAGTGTTAGTTCATTATGTGGAAACTTGGAGCCATTAGACGACCACTTTATCCTAGCACTGTGCACCCACGGCATCGCAAACGGGAATCTAAACCAGGATCTTCGAATTCGCGTTCGACATGCAAGAGCGTGGCTATCACGTTAAAAAATTGCAGTAAAAAGGACATGCACGACCCTAGCACAAAGAGATGAAGATATCAGGCCAAAACCACATAGTAGTATTAGCGGTAATCCAAAAGATCAGAAGTTGAATAAATGTAAACCAATGAAATAAATTTAGGACGAAGAAAACATTTGAGGAATCCAGATGATTAGAATTTATGAGAAGACACAGAATATATGCATCTGTGCCATTGCATACGACTTTCATCCATGTCATTCAAGGTCTCCCCAACCATTGGTTACTATTGTTTCATGGAATGTAACCTTGTAGTCAGTCTATACCTAACATGACTCAGTCCAATTATTATTGACTTCATGTTTGTGCAATGGATTTGAGTGAGGTTCGTCACTAGGTACGCTTGAAGCTATTACCAGTTCACCTTAATCGATAAACGCGAACGAGACAATTAATCAGCGTCCAGATAGGCTACCTTGAATCCCAAGCTGAAGACAGAAGACTTTTTAAGCGTAGAAAGTATATTCTACAAACACCTAGAAATCACAGCACAATCAAGCATATAACTCTCGTTTATTTATGCAAAACAGAAATGTCGTTGGGACAGTTACGAAAATAGTACACTAAAATACACAGCAGCCAATCACAGCCATGGATTTTCCTGGTGAGAAATGAAATCTCAAGGTCAACTGATCCGCCCATGCTGGCAAACGTGAAATCCAAAATAAGGCATTGATCAAGCGAGATCTGGGGATCTAACATCCCCAACAATTTGTGCCATATTTCGGGTTCGACCACCTCCGAAGGAGTAGATGGTCAGATATATTGTTACACATGTCCCAATTACCTCGACTGACTGAGAATCCGTTACTTCATTAATCGACTACTTGCCATCTAAACTTAGTACCCTTTTTTGCTAAGATCAGCATTGCTTACTCGATGGTACAAGAACACACGAACAATGCTTCGAACAAAAAAGCCGGATGATCCTCTATTCTTACTGGTCATGTTTCACACCCGCGCAGTAAACTAATCATTTGACTAATAGACAGTTATGATAACATGATATCATCCCTACTGTAGCTGCGACCTTGATGTGGTGGTCGGGCTTGACTATCGTGATTACTCAGCCGAGCTATATTGGCTGGAACATATGTTCCTGAAGGTTCTACCATGCTAGGCAAGTCGATTGGAGAACGATGAGACTAAAAGCAGCTACTCAACGTCTGAGGGCGAAGTCGTACTGCTGACTGCACAGGAGTATGACAGCAGTAACCTGTTTCCCTCGGACAACCAGCATCTGCAGCGATGCTGCCTTCTCACAAGGAACGAAGGGTTAGAAAAGGTCGACCCTAAAAATGTCGCACCTCACCCTACTTCACGGATTTCCGTCTCCGGCGGTAAGGGTGCCCACTAAGGGCTTTCAAGAGCGGAGCAAATACTCAAAAAACTTCCCATAAAAAGGCCGTGCGTGACCGGCCTCAAGCAGTTGTCCCTTGGACTCTGCGGTCACGCACCCAGGTCGTTAAGACCAACGCTAATCTACTTTCCTTTTCAGGTCCCTCAAGAAACAACGTTCCACGGTGTAGGCAGTCGGGAAGTGACAACCGCCCTCATACCCGCAACAGCACACGAGACCAAATTGGTCAAAATCAAATCCTTCCTACATGATATCATCAAAAATGAGTGCCTTCCATGAACAAGTAATGCCAATTGAGATGTACTTACTAATTTGCCTGGATTATGAATTAATAACACTTGACTAATTGATGCCGGTGGTAGGAAAGCTGAATAAGCTGGAAGATTTTGACCAGATGCAACAAGTTGTCGTATTTTGAATGGCTGTAACAAAAAAAACCAAAATAATGAGACTAACGACTGAGAAAAATATAATAAACTTAATAAACTATAATGAGATAAATGATGCCAACACTAGAACAAGTACTGTAATTGTTCCAGGACCTGTCGCAGTGTGAATCATATGGCCTATACAGCCACGTCCAGGTGGAAAACCAGACTGGTTTTCTCTAGTCTGCTCTTTATGAGCTTTCGATAAGCGTCGAAGTATTATTGAGGCCAATATTTTAGATACTATATTAGTTAGACTTATTCCCCTGTGATTGTCACAAGAAGACTTGTGTCCTTTATTATAGATTGAGACAATCAGTGACTGGGACCACTCGGATGGGATTACGTTCAGTTCCCCAAATTCCACCTAAGATCTCGAGTAAAATTAAATGCTAAAATGGACTACCATCCTTACAAATCTCAGGGGCAAGCCTATCAGAACACGTTGCTCTCCCTTGCTTTAGATTTTCTTATAGATTTCTCAACTTCATGAAGAGTCGGAGGACTTACATCGATTTGTCATTCACGTTGACTGGAGATCTTGGGAAACCAAAGTGTGGCTGAAGGCCAGTTGAACTGATCCTTAAAGTGTTCTGCCCATCGATCCAATCCCCTGAATTGATAATGAATACTAGTTCCATCCTTTTTTGAGATAGTCTCACTTAGAGTCGGAAAAGGATGGGGGCTAGTGTGTGTAAGAACACAATAATGATACTATCTAGCTGTCCAACCTGAATTGGGACAAGGTTCGAACCTGAGAATTTGTGTCTGAAAGTCGAACACCTTAACCAAAGGTGTATGGATGGATAGTGATAAACCGCTTTACGTATACCAGATACTAGTTTCTACATACATTTACTCATTTCCCCAGTAAAACTGACAGTGAAACAATACACCTCTTGATATAAGTACAATGTACTGACGACCTTGACTGAGTACCCTATCAGCCAATCAGGAAACACTGCTTCCTTATTATTCAACAATCAATAGCTAAAAGTCATTAAAGCCTTAATGAAATAATAGCTTCGATTCGATGAATAATCGATCTTCACATGTTAAATAATTCTTTGTAATCGAAGAAAAAGTTTAATTTGTGTTATCAATTAATTCGATCACTTCATAAAAGTTTTATCACTCACTTTAATCAACTTATATAATGTTGAAAAGGTTCATGTTAATTATTAAAAAAGTTAAATTGAAGTTTTGAGTTTTAGTTTTTCAAATTATATTAGGGGTTCAGGATTTTTTTATCGCAAATTGACATTAGTTATGATACGATGTTTTGTTATTCTACTATGCATAAACTTATAGTTGCCTTACAGTTGAAATTTAGAGTAATAATTAGAAGGGAAAATCATATCATATCTGACTTCTTGAATGTCATCAAGTAGGTTGAATGAAATTCACTACTCTACATCAACTTCATTGACTACGAGAAAACATTCGACAGAGTGGACAGGATAAAACTATGGAGGCTTCTTCGACACTAAGGCATGCCTGAGAAGAACTCTTATGATGGATGCACGGAGGACAGATGACAAACTCGTTCGAGGTGAAGACCGGTGTCAGGCAAGGTTGCTTACTCTCACCCAATCTCTTTCTCCTGGTCATAGACTGAATTATGAAGACGTCAACATCTGGAGGGAAGCACTTTAGCCAGGATGCAGCTGGATAATTTGAACTTCGCAGATGATCTGGCTCTTCTATCGCAAACGCAACAACAAATGCAAGAGAAGACGACCAGTGTAGCAGAAGCCTCAGCAACAACAGGTCTCAACATACAAAAAAGAAAAAGCCACATACTCCGATATAACACAACATGCGCCAACCACATCACTCTTGATAGAGATGCCTTAGAGGACGTTAACACATTTACATATCTGAGCAGTCTCATTGAAGAACAAGGTGGATTGGAGGCAGATGTTAAAGCACGGATCAGCAAGGCAAGGGAAGTTTTCCTACAATTGAACAACATCTGGAAATCAAAACAACTAGCAACTAACTACTACAAAGTCATAATTTTCAACACAAATGTCAAGAGAGTTCTACTGTATAAGGCGGATGACTTGGAGAAGCGCAGAGGCGATTATCCACAAGATACTACTGTTTATCAACTATTGTCTACGCGAAATACTTCGAATCCGTCGGTCAGACTCTATCAGCAACAACCCACTGTAGGAGGGAACAAACCAGATTCCGTCACAGGAAGAAGCGCTGGAAGTGGATAAGATACACATTGAGGAAAGCACCCAACTGCGTCACAAAACAAGTCCTCATACTAAGAATCCTCAATGTCAAAGGACAAGAAGAAGAAGAAGACCAAGGAACACATTACGTCGATAATCAGAGACAGACATGAAAAGAATGACGAATAACAAGACTGAACTAGAAAAGCAGGCCCAGGACAGAGTAGATTGGAGAATGTTGGTAGGTGGCTGGCTGGCTTATGCTCCCCCACTAGGGAGTATAACAGACGAAAGTAAGTAATATGAAAATCTACATACATACATATTTGGTACTCACTTTTTCAACACCAAATCTAACATTGATATCATTAATCGGTTGGCTATTTTGACTAGATATCACAGCAACAAAAACCATCACTTCAGGATGTGGTCTATTATTGGCATAATGTAATATCAACTGGACATTGTCGTTTGTTTCATGGGATTGATTATCAATTGAAGGATAAAGTGTTACTGGTAATTTATGCATTGAATGAGGTTGAACTGATGCCAATTCTATATTATCAAATGATTTCAAATCAATTAAAGTTTGTGATGTTGTTGTATCTGATGTGAGTTGTTGTTCTGATTGATGAGTAAGATGATTATTATTATTATCATTACTATTATCAATATGTGGTAGTGGTGAGATTAGTTCATGATCAATGGTTGTTTTGTTTGGAGAATGATTTTCTAATAATTTTGACAAATTTGTATCATTCAAAGCATTGGTTCTAAATGTAGATGATGAAAAGAAAACAGATTATTATTATTATTAGTAGTAGTAGTACAAAGGGATACACCGAAAACAACATTCTGTTGTCCAGCTAACCAAACTGAATTAGATGGGTGCGGGGGGGTGTGACTCCCCGAACCTTTCAACTATAAGTTTAATATACAACAAGAGAGTGGAGCAGAGCAACGTTAGCAGATGCATGTTCATGATAGTCGGTCACCAAAAACGATAAGTTCATACTCCATTCTTCCTAGTAAGGTTGTGCAGCCCATGCAAACCATTCGTTAGGAAAGAAGACAGACAGACAGACAGATAGATACAAGGCAGAACTTCGTACATAAGTACATCAGTTCAGGTTGCCATACAACCAAAGTACAAAGACGTAACTGTCAGTTCAAATCCAATAGTGATAGCAATAATAGAAGTATTAGCAGCAATGGAGAAGATTAGGCAGCAAAGATATGATTCGAGAAGCATAATTCAATGAGATAAATTTAGAAGGAGAAAGGAAGAGATTATGAGGGATGCAGAAGCTTAGAATTTCAGAGAACACAAAGAGTGGATACATCTGCACCATTGCAAACGATTTTGAGCCATGTCATTTAAGGTCTCTCATCCTCGGTGAATTTCGTCTCGCGGACACCAACCAGGTAGCCAACATCTACCAACATGACTCAGTCCACTTGTCAGTGACTTCATGTTTTGGTTTGACCGCCTCTAGTCCTCTTCCAGACTACTCCTACATCAGACAACATTACTTGTCGAGGCAGTTGGTTGTTGGGCTTTCGTAACAGATGTCCTAACTAACTCAACTGATGAAGTCATACTACCTCAACTTATCAAGACTCACTATTTAATCAATGGATCTGCCATCCTTAATCAGTACCCGTTTCCCAATAACTGCATGGCTTACTCGATTGTCGCAGGATAAACGAGTAATCGTTCTAAAAGACCTACGATCGGAAACCAACAACCTACTAATATGTTCTACTCTCACTGGCCATGATTCGCATCCATATAGTAGGATAGAGCGAACTACTACGCAGTACACTCGTCCTTTATTCAACGAACGGATATCTCGCCTACGCCATACGTGACGCAAGTTGGCAAAAGCCAATCGAACTTTCTGTATTCGTGCTGAGATTTCGTCAGTCACCAGGCAATCAGAACTGATGAGACTCTCGAGATCAGTAAACCGGTCGATATGCTTGACTACTTCACTCCTTATTACTAGTTCAGCTGCCGATGCAACCCAATCTATTTACGATGTACTAACACATACTTTCTACTAACAATAAAATACAAACAACTCAACAATTCATACTTACTTGGATAAATTCAACATTTGACGACTTAAACTATCTAATTCACTAAAAACATTCACATTGGAATTGACAGTAGATCCATGTTCAGGAGAGGAGAATTGTTTCGGTGTTTTAGAATTTAATGAACTAAATATTGATGGATAGATTGTTGATGAAGTAGGATGTACTGAAGACACACACACACACAGAGAGAGAGAGAAAATATTTATAATTATATATAAAGGCTACAAATGCTTGTCAGTATGAGAATATTATTACTGGTATAGCTTAGTTTAGAACACTAGTTGAATATAAACACAATTTCGGAAGATTATTCAAATTTTAGAATTATTAACATAAAAAAACGGTGAGTCATTCAATACATGAAATACAACTTTGACTTTAAACCAATTTGATAAAAATCTGCAGAGAAAATAACACCAAATAATCCCATACCTATTGTGGCCAGTTGTTATGAGTGAAATCAGTCAATGTGTAGAAAGGATTTGATTCTGACCAATTTGGTCTAGTATGCTTTAATGACTATGAGGACGGATGTTACTTTCCGGCTACCTACAGTGTGGAAGGAATCTGGTCAACAGAAGGGGCATCGGCTTTCATCATGAGACATCATAACTCTTCTGAATGAAGACCGTCTAAGTTCCAGAGCAGAGTTTATACGGTGTGGATTATTTTTTCTTGTTAGCGCTTCTTAGCGAGTTAGATTTTTGCGCGATAGGGTCGCCAACCCCTCGGGCCTAACTCTCCCTCCTTTATCCAGCTTGGGAACGGCAATAGCCCCAGAGGGTTTGACTGAAATACAAGCTTTGATTTACTTAAAACGTATAAATATGAGTACAAGTAGTCAACAAAATATGTATGCGCCATGTTGTAAAAACAGTCTAGTTGAGAAAAATACAACCCGAATGAATTTTATGACTTTAAGGAAGTTACAATAGGATCACCACTGGCTTCGATTCTGAGTCATGTCTGATAACGTCTCATGGCACTGAGCTACATCATATCTAAGACCATAAGCCAGGGAGACATGAAGGACCAATATATTTCAGTTCTGTTCAGATTATTTCCACACCAAAACCACCTCACCACTTTTTTCAATTAGTTCCAGAGTTGATAAATAATACACGATGTGGAATTCGCTTGAACGCCACTCATAGTACATGTCCAAGCCACCTGAGCATACGTAGCCGAACCTTCGAATAACTAATATGATTTTGCCATTGAATGACAAAAATTCTTCGGAGACAACAGTGATCGGAAGATTTTTAATAACCAGGTTTCATAGGCATAGAGCAGAACTGCTCTCACCTACCAATCATGGACCTAACCTTTTACAGCCGAATAATGTGGTAGGTTGGTATAAGCCGCTTTGGCATTCATCATAAATGATGTATTCTTATTGCTCACACCACCACCAACAATAATATACGTAATTGCCCATATACACGAAATTTTCTGCTCACTGCCAAGAGTGAGTGTACGTTTAAGGTCCTGCCAGTCTTGTAAATGTAATTTGCACTTATAAGCTGTGAAGTAAATGTGATACTTATGGACACTGATTGCTAACTGGTTAATTGAGGATTATATGGCTTCGGTATCATCACACAGTAAAGAAAAATCATCCACGTACTCAAGGTGAAGAAGTCTTTCTCCAGTAAACACATCCACACTATCATTACCTACAACCATCAAAACTCTTTCCAGCATGTCATCGATGATAAAGTTGAAGGGGAATGGTGAGTTTGGGCAACCCTGACTAACGTCATTGCCTAAATGAAACAATGAAGAGGTTGTCGTACGCCTTCACTGTGCTTGAGGTATTTGTATACAGCACCCTGAGGCAAAACTTTCTCAATAGTCTATTCCACAAAACAGTTCGGTTTGACAAAACAAAGGACGTCCTAGTGTCATGAAACGCAAAGATTGTAGGCCTGCGATAAGTATGGCAGTGTTCTAACACCGGAACGAAAACCGAACTGCCTCTCGCCGATTTATCTTTCCCTGAGGGTCAAACAATGTGCAAAATATGATGGAAGCCAGTAATTTGGATGCAATCGGTAGGAGATCATTATTCATATCATAGTTCCTAGAGAAGACTGGAGTTGAATAATTGACTCCTTAAGCAATCACTTATTATTTACCGTTCAGCAGAAATTAGTCAGTCATATACTGGACCGGTCCGGTGCTACGTTCTGCCCTTCCCCCCGAATAGCTTGGTACGATCGATAGTGAGGAAAGTTTGCTCTCCTTCTTAAAATGCATTTAAATGACCACGATTATATAACCAATAACAAAGAAGTCCTCATTACTCATCGTAGCACAAGCGCTGTTGAAAAAAATGGAGCGAGAAGCAGGAGCCTTTAACCGGATCGGAGTTGAAAAACCCTGATTTCTGAAGGAACAATTACAGTACACACCTATTGTTAGTAACTGGCTACTACAATGGGACTGGATTTTCTACAGGAGGGCCACTGCTACGGGATTCACTCTTTTGGATTAAAACACTAGTAAAAACATTAACGAGATAAACTTACTACTTGACGCAGTAGTAGTATTAGTAGTAGCAGTTGCATTTACGGAAAAAATATCGTGTAAATCATCATAGTTTGACTTTTTTCTAACATCCAAATTATTATTATTATGATTATTATGGTTACTGCTGAACGAACTTTTCGAATCAATCGGAGCACAGGTTATTTGATTCATAACAACAGATGAATTATTGTTATTGGTCAGTAATAAAACATCCGATGTGTTTGTTTTCAAATGAGAAGAAGCAATCGATGGGGTCGGGTCATCAACTAAGCCTAAATTCAATAAATCTTGTGTTAAAAGATCAGGAACATGCGTAGATGATGATGCTGATGCCGAACACGAATGATGATCTGCTGCAGTTGTGGAAGACAATGATGTTGGTGAGCAAGAGGAAGAGGAGGTGGACGAGGATGGTGATGATTTGATTTTGGCAATTTTTTGTTCATAATGCGCTAGAACATTACTAGCTTTATCACAGATTCGACCAATTTCAGCTTTTGGGGGGGGGGAGAAAAAATGGACAAGGTATGTAATAATACAATGTTATTATTCATACTAGTGAACATACATTTCAGATATTATAAGTTTACATTGAGCAGTTGAAATTGAAAGTGAACATTGTAATCTAAGAGTTGTACTACAATATTCAATGATTGCGTCAGAGATTCTATTGTAAACTGACGACAGTATAGGTTGGCAGTAATCATAAATACATGCGGAAAAGAGGACACCATGTCAGATAGAACAACTTATAGTGAAGTACAGTTCTCTGAGCTAGATGTTCTGGGTGTGGAGATTTCATTGTTCTTTCGAACAACATGATCAGCAGCACAAACTTCAAATGGGATTTACGGTCTCCAAATGCCTATACCTGCTGACATAGAAGTCCTATTGACTTCTCTATCGTGTGGCAAGGATGTAGTGTATAAAATTGCGAAGACGGAAAGTGAGTGTCCGACGTCTTAACCTGCTTGGTGAGTATGGAGGAACTTACTAGACCAGTTGGAAAACCATGATCCTAGACCTGATATACTCGTCAATTGATATGCTTGAAACTATTACGAGTTCACTATGCTCAGTAAGCGGAACGAAGATCAACGATTCAGCGAGACGATAGGCTACTCTAACCCGATCGTCCCAGATCCCACTAACTAGAGCAAGAAGTCTTGATAAGGCGTAGAGAAATGTATTTCACAGGCAACCAGAAAGTACGAGGTCCACAAGCACACAACTCAAGCTTAATTATACAATGATAGCAACGTCCTTGGGAGAGCCAAAAATAGCGTACTAAAATAATCTATCAACCAATGATAGTCAAGGATTTCCCGAGGGGCTAAAGGTCAACCAAGTGTCTCTTAGAGCATTAAAACATTAAAATTTAACATTTCAGAAATAAATTACAAAATTAGAACATTTCCCAGGTGAGTTCTGGGGACCTAACGTCCCCAACAAAACCGATGGTGCACATGAGACCCAGAATTTTGAAGAAACAAATAGAGTATGAACCCAGTGTTAATCATCGGCTACCGTGTGACTGCATCCCCTAACATTGCTGCTACACTACCTACCTGGTGGGTTGGAATTTCGAATGAAAGACTCGGGGTATGGTCCAACTATCTAATTCAGTTCGGAGAAACCAGACAGTATTCCACTCTACTAAAAAAAATTCAATAATTTATGTGGCACACACCTACCTATTTAGATTTATTCAAATGTGACCAGACATAAAATGTCAGTTTTCAAAAAGATAGTTGACTGTTTCAAGTATATCAATGTTTGATCATCATTTAATCGGTTTTCAATTCATTGAATTACCAGTTCTAATCAAATTTTCTGAGAAGGCAGCATCGCTGCAGATGCTGGTTGTCCGAGGGAAACACCTTACTGCTGTCACACCCCTCTTCAATCAGTCACCAGTACGACTTCGCCCTCAGACCTTGAGTAGCAGCTGCTTTTAATCTCATCATTCTCCAATCGACCTTCCTGGCATGGTAGAACCTTCAGGAACATATGTTCCAGCCAGTATATCTTGGCTGGATCATCACGATAGGCAAGCCCGACCACCACGTCAAGGTAGCAGCCACGGTCGGGTAATTTTGTCTATACTTAGTGGTAAACAACCTACTGTGACACAGAATAAGCTAGTTTCCGGTTGAGAAACAAATTAAAAGAAAACGCTGGAAGTGTATAGATAGGACACATATAACACAAAGCACCCATCTACTTCATGAGGCAAGCCCCCCACCTAGAATCCTTAGGGCCAAACGGAAAGAGGAAGACCAAACAACACATTAAGTTGAGAATTGGAGGCAGACATCACAAGATGGAATAACTATTTGGCACAACTGGAAAAGAGAGCGAAGAACACACATAGTTCGTTGTAGTTTATCGGTTGGCGGCCTATGCCCCGTAAGCGGTAAATGGAGTAAGTAAGTAAGTAAACAACTAGTATACATTGAGTGTAAGTAGTGTTTTTTTATGTATCAACCTTAACTAGGTTTGAATAAGTAGACGACTCAATAATGTAGTCAAATAATATTTTTGAAAAGAACAATTAGATAGAGGAAAAAAACATTAACTTACTCAATGTTTCAATATCTTGTTCTTCATGAGTTAACGAAAAACTATACAATAATGGACGTGCTCTACGTATATTTTGTGTCAATTCCTGTGTACAATATAAAAAATAAGCATAATAACATGTGTGTGTGTGTGACAAATTAGTAATCACAAATGAAAAGAATTCAATAACAATTAGGAAATTATTACATGCTTCTAGGGTACTACTACTACCGGTTCATAGACCGTCAGTCAGTTACAACGTAGACATTTGTACGTATGTACATAAGTTCAGATTGCAATACCGCATCAGCACAGAGGCGTAACTGTCAGTTCAAATCCAATAGTGGTAGCGATAGTAGAAGTATTAGTGGTAATGAAGAACATTAAGGTATAATTCAGTGAGATATAATTAGAAAGAGAAAGATAGAGATGATGAGGAATTCAGAAGGTTAGAATTTGGAAGAACATAAAGATTGGATACACTTGCGCAACTGCAAACGATTGTGAGCCATGTGATTCAAGGTCTCTAACCATTGGCAACTTTCGTCTCGCGGACCACAACCAGGTAGTCTACATCTACCAACATCACTCAGTTCACTTGTCAGTTACCTCATGGATTTGTGCCATGTTTCGGTCTGACCGCCCCTAGCTTTCATCCAACCTACCCCTACACTGCAAAACAAAGCTCGTCGCGGCAGTCGGTGGTTAGCCATACGTAACACATGTCCCAACCACCTCAACTGATGGAGCTTCACTACTTCATCTATTGATTTGTCATGCTTACCTAGTACCGGTTTCCTAACAACTGCATTGATTATTCGATGGTCCCAGACTAAACGAGCAATGTTTTGAAAATACCTATGACCGAATAGTAGTACCCTACGAATATCTTCTACTCTCACTGGCTATGTCTGAGAGTCATAAAGTAGGACCGAGCGAACTACTGCACAGTACACTCGTCCTTTAGTCAGCAAACCTATATTTCGCCTACTCCATAAGTGACGCAGGTTGGCAAAAGCCAATCGAGCCTTTTTTGTATCCGAGCAGAAATTTCGTCAGTCAATAAGTCATCAGCACTGATGAGACTCCCCAGATAAGTGAAGCGGTCTACACGCTCGACTACTTCACTCCCTATCACTAGTTCAGGTGCCGATGAAACCCAATCTTGAAGCAGAATTTTGTATTTTGACGGAGAGAATTGAATCTCGAAAATGCTTGCATTGTTGCTCAACAAATGGTATCCGTAATTTTTATAATTAAACGTTTATTTTTTTTAAAAACAAACACATAACTCGACAGTTTGTTTACTGGGTTAAAATTCCATAACCAAATGATTCTATACATACTCTATCCAACAATAAACATCAGCTTAAAAGATGACTGCGTATTTATAACAATCGGTCTAGTTATTTTCAGTCAATATTTCGTAGCTAAACAGTAGTTTTTCTTTACAAAGTTGTTGAATGAGTTGGAAAAGAAAGCCAATAAAAAATTTAACTGATATACGGTCTATGAAAACTCATTTCAAATTAAATTATTCACGTCATCTTCAAGATAATATTATATTCGACAGTACATCATGAAATATTCAACTGCTTATTTAACTATATTCCATTTAGTAGTGAAGAGCTGTGACTAGTGGTGAAGGAGTTCAACCGTGTCAGTTTTGTGTGTGAGAGGCAGTTGTTACCGATCAAACACAATGGATGATCATAGCACAATATTAGTGAATCAGTTAATGTTACACATCAACATCACTGGATGCCGGCCCAACAGTCAAGAGGTTATGTTCTTACGGGCGAGACCGGAGGTCGTGGATGGGAACAGTTGATCGGTCCCATACTAGGAACGAAACAGCTATTCAATGTCGATAGGTTTCTAATGATGGTCTAACATATATCAGCTCAATGAAACATAACAATCCCTACCACTCTCCATATACAATGAGAAAATACTTACATTCATTAATTCTAATTCAGCTCCAGTACTTTCACCTAATAAATAAGTACCAATCATTTCTTCTAATAGTAACGTATTATTCTTTAAAGCTTCCATTTCACTAGTTCTTTGGCTTACTTTTTCCATACGTACTTGATCCTTGAATAGAAAATATATACAACAGATAAAAATCATAACAGAAAACAATGAATGAAAAAGTTTTAAATATATCATTCACCTACTGATCAAATTTATAAGTAGTCAAGTATTATTATTGACAAAAAAAATGTGCCGATCGATGGGCTAATGAGAAGAAAGATGAATAAATTGTATAAGGTTAATGTGAATTTTGTTGGTACTCATTTCAATGACAGATACTACAACAGAACCTCACGATCAACAGACTCAAACGCCACCTTAAGTTCAAAAAAGATGTGACTATTGTAGGATATCTGAATGTGCGTCTGTGTCCTATGAATATATGGTCCATACATTCACGTTCAGGTATGAAACCAGCTTAGTTTTCTTGAGTATGCTCTTCACGAGCTCTGATTAGGGGTCGAAGTAGAAAGTTAGTGATTTAGACCAATTAGACTAGATTAGATTACGTCCAGTCCACAGGTTCCAGCTAAGATGTCAGAAAACCTAACAGCTAAAACAGGGCCACCATCTTTACAAAATCTTAAAGGTCAATCTATCAGGGCCCGCTGCTCTCTCTCACTTCAGATTCCCTAAAACCTTTACAACTTCATTCAGAGTTGGAGGGTTTATATCAACTGACTAAAATTGGACTAGCATCCTTATAAATCTCAGTGAATTTAAAATCTATCCGGACTTGCTGCTCTCTCTCACACTTTAGACTGCCTATAGCGTTTTCAATCTCATTAATAGTAGGAACGACTTACATTGTAATAACTAAACATTCAATTTTAACAACAAACCATCAAGACAAAACCGAAAAATACAATCCAATTTACTTCTTCAACTATACTCTTAATCAATGCATTGGCTTCACGTAGATCAGCTGGATTACGACTACGAAGTAGTTGAGTTAAACGCTACAAAAAAAGAAAATTTGGAATGAGCATATTTTTTCTTTATTTATTTTCATGTAAATATGCCAGTAAATCAATATTCAAATCATTTGAAGATTCCCAATGTGAAAGATTAGAACAACACATATTAAAGCGAACAATTTGGTTGTTTTCGATGATGAGATCGTCATCAGCCTTTTACTCTTTAATATACATGAATATTTAGGATGAAAATGTGAAACCAATCAAGGCAATTTGAGTGATAATCACAATGAAATGAAAGAGAGATTACGTCGGGCGTACTTCTAGGCAACTTACCCAATGAATGAGTGAACATCCCCCAGCATGGTTTAAGAAAGGTCAGTCAAAAACAATACTCAGTTCCATCTTAGCACACCTGGTAGATAGTGGTCACATTGTAGATAAGTCTAGATCTTTTTGGGTGATCTATCGTATACCTCAATCATTTCCCAACAGAGTTCGATCCCGTTTCCTACACACTGCAGAAGCCATAGGAATACGTACACGCAACCCCAATTTATGTGTTCAGAAGAAATTCGTGACACCCCTATCTCTTCCGTGGCCGAATATGACGTAACTAACGATTGACATTATATTTTTTTATTTTATTTTTAACACACTTGCTTATTACGTAATGGTTTTGATGTTTCTAAATGATTACTTGAAGTCTATTTATCCACGAGGTTTGACCTACTTTTGATAAAACTTTTTTTTATCATATTTTATAAATTTTCCTACTACTATCAGTACACCTCTGTCTTCCTACTATCCACTTGTACTTTTCGCCTATTATGTGTGTAGTGACGTAATCTCTATTTCATTTCATCGTGATTATGACTGAAATTGCCTTGATTGGTTTAACATTTTCATACATAAATATTCATGCCTATTAGAGTAAAGCCTGATGACGATCTCATCATCGAAAACAATAATATTGTTCGCTTATATCTATGTTGTTCAAATCATTTGGTAAATGATTCTTCTTCATTGATAGATAAAAATTAAATTTAAAAATTACACTCAACTGATTTTGCTTTCTTCAAAATACAAACATTTTAATTAGTCACATCAATCAGTTAGTGTCAATGAATTTTCGCGGAAAAAATAAAAACAGTTGATGTGATCTCTAATAATGTTAAATGCATACAAAGATAAATAACATTTGATTTGGTACAGTACAATAAATCAATTTGAATAAAAGATGAAAACTAATAAAATACGATTTTCATTTATATAAAAAGATTGAAAGTTGAACAACATTAAGCTTATTTGGTTTAAATGATACTTTATAATTTATGACAGTGTTATGGAGATTGTTGAGATGCACTGAAGTAATGAATTGATCATAGTTAGACTACCATTAGAAACCTGGAGGCATTGGACAGATGTTTCGCCTTAGTATGGGACTCATCAGTGGCAGTGAGAGGCCACGAACCCGGCTCGCAACATAAGGGATGAAATACAGTTAAATATAAATACCACTGGATACCAGCTCAGTGGTCCAAAGGTTACGCGTTCGCACGCAAAACTGTGGGTTCTGGGTTCGACTCTTGCGAGTAACAGGAGGAGTCCCGAACTAAGACGAAGCCGGTGTCCAGTGGTTTCAGGTTTCCAATGGTGATCGATTCATAATGCCAATGATGGTTGATTAATTCGAAATGTATCAACTCGACTGATTGAATAAATAGTATTGGACTATCTTTATTAGAAAGATACATTGACAGGTAAAATTGTTACTATTGAATTTAAATGAGTTTACGTTTCACAATGATAATAATCTTATCTCTAACAATGAACGTAAAAAAGGCGTGCTAAAAGCTATCAAAAACCAAGGGTATGATCTTGTTATGATGTACGATATGGGAAATCTGGATGTAATACATGATAACACCCTTATTAAACTGACTAATTAAGTGAGGAGAAGAAATGAACAAAAGGGAACGTCTACTTAGCTATAGAATAATATACATAAATACTCATTTATACATATACATTCACCTTCCTTACAAAATCAAGTCATTTCTTGACCAATGGATATATATTCATCCTTTAGTCATCAAATGATCTTCTCGTTCGACTTCTGATTGGCTCTTTATATGTGGATTTAGAAGTAATGCTTACAGGAGCTAAATAATATACAGTCGTATGGTGCTACTTGTATATACACTTAAACTAAATAAGTTGAGAAGTGAAGTATCGGAACAGTTGTATTCCTAGGTACCAAGATGTACTGAAGAGGGGAGAGGTCGCCTTCCGTCTTGAAATGCTCGTACATGATCACCAGTATATAACCACTGATAAAGAAGCTCTTTCCGTAGCTTCGATTTTGTATATCCCTTTTCACAGCACAAGTGCTGTTCACTAAAGGGAGAGGATGTCAGGCCGGACCCTCAGCCTGGCTGGTGGGTAAAGAGGCATCCATTAGTCAGTCAGCCAATCAGATACAACGTAGAGTTTCGTGTATACGTAGATCAGTTCAAGTTGCCATACTAAATTAGCACACAGAGATCGAATTGTCAATTCAAATCCCATATTGGGTAGAGGTAGTAGGATTATTAGCGGTAATCAGAAAGATTGGTCGTCGAAGATATTATTTGAGGAGCATATCCCAGAGAAATCAATTTAAAAAAAGGAAGAAAAAACGATCATGCGGAAATTAGATTAGAGTTTGAGAGGAAACAAACAATGGATGCATCTATGCCATCGCAAACGATTTTGAGCCATGTCGTTCAAGGTCTCTAACCATCGGTTACTATCGTCTCACGGAACCCAACTAGGTAGTTTACATCTACCAACATGACTCAGTCCACTTGTCAGTGACTTCGTGGATTTCTGCCACGTTTTAGTCTTTCGGCCTATCCCTACACCTCAAAACATCGCTGGTAGAGGCAGTCGACGGTTAAGAATACGTAATACATGTCTAAACCACCTGAAGTCATGAAGTTTCAATAACTTCATCTATGATCGGAAAACAGTAATCTACGAATATCTTCTACTCTAACTGGATACGTTTGACACCCATTTAGTAGGACGAAGCGAACTGCTACACAGTAGACTCGTCCTTTGGTTAGTTGACGGATATTTCGCCTACCACATAAGTGGTACCAATGGTGCCTACTGGCTATAGGACCGTGAGGGAAGGAATGTGTCTACTATGAGTGAACAACTACCGTGTATCACTGCCTTGTGGATTAGACTTTTGGATCAAATAATCGGGGTATGGCTCCCTATGAAAACCAACAACCTAATCCGGTCTGGACAAAATCCAGACAGAATCTGAGCCCACTTACAAATTCATTGATTTGTGTGAGGCATGAATACTTAGCTGCATATTTGTACCAGGGTTTATATGTTTAAATAAATAACATTTCCAATTGACAATATAATAAAATGTATAAACTCAACTAAGTGAAACGCCTCCCATACTTAAAAACTACACATCAACTTAACTACTTTGAAATTAACTAAATATTTTCCCACATGTTGTAACATTCACACGGAGGCTTGATACTTAACAGTTCACCCTTCCTTATACTTGCGCAAGTTTTTTTCAAGTCAATTAATAAATCATTGTAAAAAAACTAATAGGAAAAAAATTTGTAGAGCCTCCACATAAAATTCAGTTCGCTCATATTTAATTTGATTAAGACTTTCGATTAACTTATTTAACCAAACCATTTGTATAACTTGTATAACCTATATGTATCATTGGTTTTTATTACTATTGTCTGGTTTGTATGAGCTGGTACGAGACTGAGCATTACTTAGGCCTACGCGCGTATTGATCCTATTAGCTTTAATCTCTTAAATATCTCGATGACTCGAAATATCCCTATGCATATATAAACATTCTAATCTTATTAATACATTCACCAATTCGCCCATTCGCCAATTCACTCGTAAGTATGCCTGCACTTGTGGCCTGCTGGTCCATTTTTTTGGTGTGCCGAAAAAATAAAACGTATTCAACACCTCATATTTGCTTTCTGATATATAACCAGCAGCGCTATTTGGTGACGATTACCTAGACGAGCGCGAATTACGAAGCTTAAGAACACGTTGAAATCGGTCACCACAAATTAGCTCCCGCAAAACAAAATCCAAACACAATCAAACGGAACAATTATGTCATCGTTGTATTTGCCTTGTGCTGGATGCTACACTCACAAGGTGACACATTCAAGTATGGTATCCAGAGGAGTGTCTCACCTAGGAAATGTTACCAGTGAGAACAGTGTCAACAGATAGAAATGCAAGGCGTCTTCAGTAAGCATAAGTCGTCCATCTGGTCTTGACTTCTACCCATACTACATACATTATGTGAAAATGCCTCTTACGTAATCCAAATCATTACCTTCTTATTTTCTACAAAGAATATCCTACATTTAGTGTCATTAAGACAGTTTCAGCCAGTAAGAGAAATAAAAAACAGCAAACATGATTTTTACATGAAAACTCGAAAAAAAAGATGCGACAAACTAAAAGCATCATAGTTTTTTTACAGAAGGATTCCACACCGTTTCGTCGGCAAGGATGATATGATAATCGAAGAAGATAAGGCCTGACAATCATGTTTACATTGAATGGAGAATGAATGAACTATCAGCGAATTTCCCTCAATCGCCTACGAAATTCGATCATTTATATTTTGTGCTTATCTTCTGTGCATAAGCGCGTTATTTTACTATCGCAAACAATTGTTTACCTGGTAAGTGGTCGTGTTTTTTTGTGACTTCAAACCATAATGATACAATCTCAAAGGGAATCATCATCACTCGACCACACTATATCATCCATCAGCTTTAATTAATCGAACTTTTTGTCTTTTCAGGCATTAAAAATCTTCTCAATAACAATTTTTTTCACCAAAAAAAAACAACCAATACCCACCTCTGATTTTTTATTACGTTCAAAAATATTTTGCTTATCGTCAGCGAGTGAAGAGGTGGAGCGACTAACCTACAAGAAAAGTAAAGAAAATGAAGACAGTGTATACATATTTTAGATATGATGTATGATGTGTTGCCCTCCTACATTGAACATACAGAATCATTTACAGATGTTTGAATGAAACTGATTAGCAGGGGATCTGAGGAAAACTAAGCAAGTTTCAAACATGGCTGTGAATCTACGGATCATACATACTGTCGTTCAAGTGTACTCATATTCCTACAGCTAGAGACAATATATGACTCTGTTGATCAAGAAATTTCATGACAGCGTATTTCAGTGGAAGACGTGTCAAAAAAACTATATAAACCAAAGAGCGCTTTATTCAAATACTATTTATTAAGAGCCCACCACCTTGACGTGGTGGTCGGGCTTGCCTATCGTGATAACCCAACCGAACTATACTAGCTGGAACATATGTTCCGGTAGGTCCTACCGTGCCAGGCAGGTCGACTGGAGAACGATTAGACTAAAAGCAGCTACTCAAGGTCTGAGGGCGAAGTCGTACTGCTGACTGATTGAAGAGGGGTGTGACAGCAGTAAGGTGTTTCCCTCGGACAACCAGCATCTGCAGCGATGCTGCCTTCTCACAAGGAAGGAAGGGTTAGAAAAGGTCGACCCTAAAAATGTCACACCTCCCCTACCTCACGGATTTCCGTCTCCTTGGGTAAGGGTGCCCACTAAGGGCCTTTAAGAACGGAGCTAATACTCAAAAATCCTCTCATAAAAAGACCGTGCGTGACCGGCCTCAAGCAGTTGTTCGTTGGGCTCTGCGGTCACGCACCCAGGTCTCTAAGACCAACACTAATCTATTTTCCTTTTCAGGTTCCTCAAGAAACAACCTTCCACGGTGTGGGCATTCGAGAAGTGATAACCACCCTCATACCCGTAACAGCACATGAGACCAAATTGGTCGAAATCAAATCCTTCCTATTAAGAGCTAATGATAAAGAGTATTCTGAAGTAGCCACATTATGTGCAATGTCACAGCTGCTTGCTTACGCCTGTTACCCTTAATAGAGCATAAGCCACTGACCAGCATTCTACAATCAACTCTATCCACCTTTGCTCTCCTTTCCAGTTCTACTCAACTTCTACTCATTCTTTTCATACCTGCCTCCAATTAGTGGGGCAATGATTATTCGGTCTAGCTCTTTTTCGTTGGTCCTGAAGACTCCAAGTAAGTGCTTGCCTGATGATACAGTTTGGCGATTTCCGTAGTGTTTCCTACTCACTCTCAGCGCTGCTTCCTAATCGCTTCCTTAGCTGGAACCTAGCTAGTTTTTTCATACAGTAGGTTGCTGCTGATGGTGTCTGGCCAACCGATCTACAGTATCTTGTGTAGACAACTGTTAATAAATACCTGTATCTTTCGAATGATGGTTTCTGTGGTTATCCAACTCCCCGCTTCATACAATAGACCTGTTTCGACGCTTGCATTGAGAATTCTGAATTTGACGTTGGATGATAGTTGTTTTGAGTTCCCGATGCTCTTCAGTTGTAGAAATACTGCCCTGGCTTTGCTAATCCATGTTTTGACATGTGCATCAGATTCACCTTGTTTATCAGTGATGTTTCTCAGGAATGCAAAGGTTTCCACATCTTCCAAAGCTTCTCCATCAAGTATGATTTAGTTCGTGCATGTTGCGTTGCATCACAGGATCTTGATTTTCCCGTTGTGTATGTTGAGACCTACTGATGCAGAGGCTGCTGCCGCTACACTGGCCGTCTTCATTTGCATTTGTTTTCGTATGTGGGAGAGAAAAGCCAGAACATCTGAGAAATTCATATCGTCCAGTTGCATTCTAGCTGTCCTATATAGCCCGAGTTAGCCATACGTAACACGTCCCAACCACCTCAACTGATGAAGTTTCACCACTTCATCTATTGATCTGCTATCCCTACCTAGAACTCGTTTCCTAACGATAGCATTGCTTACTCGGTTGTCCCACGATATACGAGCTATCCTTCTTAAACATCTATGATCGAATACTAGTAACCTACAAACATCTTCTACTCTTAACGGCCATGTTTCACAGCCATATAAGAGAACGGAACGAACTGCTGCGCAGTACACCCGCCCTTTGGTTAGCGAACGGACATCACGCCTACGCCATAAGTGACGCAGGTTGGCAAAAGCCAATCGAGCCTTCTGTATACGTGCTGAGACTTCGTCAGTCACCAGGACATCAGCACTGATGAGACTCCCAAGATAAGTGAAGCGGTCTACACGTTCGACTACTTCACTCCCTATCACTAGTTCAGGTGCGAATGAAACCCAGTCTTGAAGCAACATTTTGCATTTCGAGGGGGAAAACCACATCCCGAACATGCTCGCATTGTTGCTTATGGTAGTCAGAAGACTCTGCATTTTGTCAGCGTCTTCACCGAATAGAACTATGTCATCGGCATATTCTAGATCAATAAGCGACTTTCCTGGTAGAAGGTCAACCCCTGAAAAATCTTACGAGCTTAATGTTAACACTAAGAGGATGTCTACGACAAAGTTAAACAAGAATGGAGAAAGTGGACAGCCCTGACGGACACCAGTTGAAGTAAAGAATTCCGATGAAAGCTCGCCATATGCTCTCACTCGACCAGTGGTGTTCGAGTAGAGAGCTTGTATAAGGTTAATGTACTTATTTGGTACACCTTTCAATGACAGACACTGCCACAGAACCTCACGATCAACAGAGTCAAATGCCGCCTTAAGGTCCAGGAAAACAACTATTGTCGGACGTATAAATGTGTGTCTGTGTTCTAGGACCTGTCGTAGTGTGAAAATGTGGTCTATACAACCACGTCCAGGTCAAAAACCAGATTGGTTTTCTCGGGTTTGCTCTTCACGAGCTTTCGTTAAGCGTCGAAGCATTACTGAGGCCAATATTTTAGATACTATATTAGTTAGACTTATTCCCCTGTGATTGTCACAAGAAGACTTCTGTCCTTTTTTATCGATTGGGACAACCAGTGATTAAGACCAGTCGGATGGGATTACGTCTAGTTCCCAGATTCTACCTAAGATCTCGGTCAACCTAGTTGCTAAAACTGGACCACCATCCTTAAAATATCTCAGGGGTCAGTCTATCAGGACCTGCAGCTCGCCCTCGCTTCAGATTTCCTAACGCTTTTTCAACTTCATTAAGATTAGGGGGACTTACGTCGATTTGCCATTTAAGATGACTGGAGATTGTGGGTAACCGAAGAGTGGCTCGAGGCCAGTTGAACTGATCCCTAAAGTGTTCTGCCCATCGATCCAGTCTCCTGGATTGAGAATAAATAATAGTCCCGTCATTTTCTGAGATAGTCTCACTTACACTAGGATTCCTAATACCAGTTTCCTTGATAAGTCGGAAAAGTTGTCTACTGTTGCCGATCGCCGATGCTTTTTCCATCGCTTTTGCTTTCGCCAGCCACCACTGTTCGCGATCGTTACGTACGCTTTTTATAAGTCTGCGCTTAAGCTGACTTCGTTCTTCATCATGTTCAGAGCCAGGTAGGATGAGTTTTCGGGCATCCATCAGATCGGTGGATGCTACTGAGATCCACGACTTCATTCTAGCCTTATGGTCAACCTTACTGGCAGATATCACTGCTGTTTCCACAGCCTTTTTGATATCATTCCATCCTGCTTCCGGATGGGAATCGCTTAAATGGTCGCCTAACTGTCTTTCTAGTTGTTCCTGAAATATATTTTTCGCCTTATTATCATTAAGTAAAACCCTAAGAGGCTTTCTTACGGTGTCTTTCCTACGCCCAGTAAGCTTCAAACAAATACGAGCTCGCACTAGGGCATGATCTGAATCTAAACATGTGCCCCAGAATGAGCGACAGTCTTCTACCGAACCCCTTCATCGGTGGCTGATGGCGATGTGGTCTAGTTGCGTCCAACGTTGAGACGACTTTGGAGGTCGCCAGGTCGACAGATGCTTTTCCTTATGCCTAAAGTTAGGGTTTGCTAAGTATAGGCGGTTGACTCAATGCTATGCCTACGCCAGCAAGACCCCTGGAAGCAGCATCAGGGCTATCGTCAGTCAGTTGCAACGTAGAACTTCGTACGTATGTACATAAGTTCATGTTGCCATACCACATTATAAGCACAGAGACGCAAATGTCAAATCAAATCCCATAGTGATAAAGATGGTAGAGGTATTAATGTTATAATAAAGAAGACTAGGGTTTAAGATATTATTCAAAAAATATAATTCAGTGAGATAAGGTTAGAAAGACAAAGGTAGAGGTGCCGGCTAATCCAGAAGATTAGGATTTGAGAGAGCTCAAAGAGTGGATGCACTTGCGCCATTGCAAACGATTTTGAGCCATGTCGTTCAAGGTCTCTAACCATTGATGACTTTCGTCTCGCGGACCCCAACCAGGTAGTCTACATCTACCAACATGACTCAGTCCACTTGTCAGTGACTTCATGGATTTCTGCCATGTTTTGGTTTTGCCGCCCCTAGCTTTCTTCCAACCTACTCCTACAGCACAAAACATAGCTCGTCGAGGCAGTCGGTGGTTAGGCATACGTAACACATGTCCCAACCACCTCAACTGATGAAGTTTCACCACTTCATCTATTGATCTGCCATCCTCACCTAGTACTCGTTTCCTAACGACAGCATTGCTTACTCGGCTGTCCCACGATATACGAGCAATGCTTCTTAAACATCTGTGATCGAATACTAGTAACCTACGAACATCTTCTACTCTTAACGGCCATGTTTCACAGCCATATAAGAGAACGGAACGAACTGCTGCGCAGTACACCCGCCCTTTGGTTAGCGAACGGATATCACGCCTACACCATAAGTGACGCAGGTTGGCAAAAGCCAATCGAGCTTTCTGTATCCGAGCTGAGATTTCGTCAGTCACCAGACCGTCAGCACTGATGAGACTCCCAAGATAAGTGAAGTGATCTACACGCTCGACTACTTCACTCCCTATCACTAGTTCAGGTGCCGATGAAACCCAGTCTTGAAGCAACATTTTGCATTTCGAGGGGGAAAACC